GTCAGGCCACTTGTATTTAACATGTTGAATACCTGGCATATACTAGGCATTCTTTTGCATTTATTTATTTTTTATTTTATTTTAATTTCTCAATATACATTGTAGTTGATTTTCGTGTCCCTTTACCCATTCCTCTTTCCCCACTCCGTCTCCCTTCCCCGCAATACATCACATCTATTTACTTAACGAGTTAAAGGAATTGTGACTTTTGCATCCTCTTCCCCCCCCCACTTATTTGTTTGTATATCTATTTATTTATTTTTAGCTCCCACAAATAAGTGAGAACATGCAGTATTTCTCTTTCTGTGCCTGACTTGTTTCACTTAATATAATTTTTTCTAAGTCTATCCATGTTGTTGTGAATGGTAATATTTCATTCTTTTTTATAGCAGAGTAATACTCCATTGTGTAGATATACCACAGTTTCCTTATCCACTCATCCGATGATGGACATTTGGGCTGGTTCCAACTCTTGGCTATTTTAAATAGTGCTACAATAAACATGGGAGTACAGGTATCCCTTCAGCATGATGATTTCCATTCCTCTGGGTATATTCCCAGCAGTGGAATAGTGGGTCATATGGTAGATCTATCTATAATTGTTTAAGGAAACTCCAAACCATTTTACATAAAGGCTGCACCATTTTGCAGTCCCACTGACAGTGTTTGAGGGTTCCTTTTTCTCTGCAACTTCATCAGCATTTCTCATTCTCAGTCTTCTAGGTATTAGCTATCCTAACTGAACTGAGATAGTATCTCAGTGTCGTTTTGATTTGCATTTCTGAAATTCTAAGTGATGTTGAGCATTTTTTCATGTGTCTGTTAGCCATTTGTATATCTTCCTTTGAGATGTGCCTATTCAGCTCCTTTGCCCATTTTTTAATTGGGTTACTTGCTTTTTTGCTGTAGAGTTGTTTGAGTTCCTTGTATATTCTGGATATTAATCCTTTGTCAGATGTATACTTTGCAAATATTTTCTGCCACTCTGTTGGTTGTCTTTTCACTCTGTAAATTGTCTCTATTGCTGTTCAGAAGCTTTTTAGTATGACATAATACCATTTGTTTATTTTTCCTTTGGTTGTCTGTGCTTTTGGGGTCATATTCATGAAGTCTGTACCCAATACTACTCCCTGGAGTGTTTCCCCTATGTTTTCTTTAAGGAATTTTTCTTATTTCAGGGTGTATGTTTAATTCTTTAATCCATTTTGTGTTGATTTTGATATACTGTGTGAGGTAAGGGTCTAGTTTCATTCTCCTACATATGAATATCCAATTTCCCCAGCCCCATTTGCTGAAGAGGTAGTCTCTTCCCCAGTGTGTAGACTTGGTGCCTTTGTCAAAGATCTGATGGCTGTAGGTGTATGGGTTGACTTCTGGATTCTCTATTCTATTCCATTGATCCATGTGTCTGTTTTTATGCCAGTACCATGCTGTTTTGATTATTATAGCTTTGCAGTATAGTTTAAAGTTAGGAGGTGTTATGCCTACAGATTTATCCTTTTTGCTCAGGATTGCTTTAGCTATGTGTGGTCTTTTGTTATTCCATATAAATGTCTGGATAGTTTTTTCCATTTTGCTTAAAAATGTCATTGGAATTTTGATGGGGATTACATTGAATCTGTAGCTCACCTTGGGTAGTTGGGACATTTTCACAATGTTAATTCTTCCAATTCAAGAGCATGGAATATCTTCCCCTTTTTTTGTACTCTTTAATTTCTCTCAACAGTGGTTTGTAGTTCTCACTGTAGAGATTTTCACATCCTTGGTTAACTTTATTCCTAAATATTTTATTTTTTTGATGGCTACTGTAAATGGGATAGATTTCTTGATTTCTTTTTCTGCATGTTCACTGGAGTACAGGAATTCTACTGATTTTTGTGTGTTGATTTTGTATCCTGCTACTTTGCTGAAATCCTTTATCAACTCTAAGAGTTTTTTTGTAGAGGCTTTAGGCTGTTCGATATATAGGATCATGTCATCTGCAAACAGGGACAGTTTGATTTCATCTTTTCTAATCTGGATGGTTTGGTAGAATTCTGCAGTGAACCCATCTGGTCCTGGTCTTTTCTTTGTTGGGAGCCTTCTGATAACAGCTTCAATCTCTTTTATTGTTATTTGTCTGTTCAGATTTTCTACATCATCTTGGCTCAGTTTTGGTAGTCTGTGTGTCTCCAGAAATTAATCCATTTCCTCCATATTTTCAAATTTGTTGGCATATAGTTGCTTATAGTAGTCTCTAATGATTCCTTGTATTTCAGAGGTATCCATTGTAATATCACCTTTTTCATTTCTAATTTTTGTTCTTTTGTTCTTCTCTCTTTTTTTATTTAACCTTGCTAAAGGCTTGTCAATTTTATTTATCTTTTCAAAAAACCAACTTTTTGATTCATTGATCTTTTGTATCATTTTTTTGGTTTCTATTTCATTAAGTTCTGCTCTAATCTTAATTATTTATTTCCATCTGCTAATTTGGGTTTGTTCTTGTTTTTCTAGTTCTTTAAGGTGAAGTGTTAGGTTGTTTGCTTGCCATCTTTCCATTCTTCTGAAGTAAGCATTTAATGAAATGAATTTCCCCCTTAGTACTGCTTTTGCAGTATCCCACAGGTTTTGGTATGATGTGTCATTATTTTAATTAGTTTCAAGAAATTTTTGATTTTCTGTTTAATTTCTTCCTGGACCCATCCATCATTAAGTAGAATTTTGTTTAATTTCCATGTGTTTGTATAGTTTCCAGAGTTTCATTTGTTATTGATTTCTAATTTTAATCCATTGTGATCTGAAAAAATACATGGAAGAATTCCAATTTTTTTGAATTTGTTGAGACTTGATTTGTGACCTAACATGTGGTCTATCCCAGACAATGTTCCATGTGCCGATGAGAAAAATGAATGTTCTGAGGTTCTTGGATGGAATGTTCTGTAGATATCTGCCAAATCCAATTGGTCTAAAGTTTTGTTTAGATCTTGTGTTTCTCTGCTGATTCTTTGCCTAGATGATCTGTCCAATATTGAGAGTGGGGTGTTCAGGTCCCCTGTTATTATGGTATTAGTGTCTTATCTCATTCTTTAGGTCTAATAGTGTTTGCTTTATAAATCTGGGTGCTCCAACATTGGGTGCATATATATTTTTGATTGTTATGTTTTCTTGATGGATAAATCCTTTTATCATTATATAGTGGCCTTATTTATCTCTTTTTATCATTTTTGGTGTAAAGTCTATTTCATCTGATATAAGAATAGCTACTCCAGGTAGTTTTTTGTTTCTATTTCATGGTATATCTTTTTCCATCCTTTCACTCTTAGTCTATGTGTGTCTTTATAGGTGAGGTGAGTGTCTTGAAGGCAGCATAGAATTGGGTCCACCTTTTTAAGCCAGTCAGTCTGTCTGTGTCTTTTGAGTGGGGTATTTAATCCTTTTACATTAAGAGTTGTTATTGAAAGGTGCTGACTTACTCCTAGCATTTTATTGATTTTTGTTTGGATGTCTTAAGTATCTTTTGTTCCTTTCTTTCTGATTTACTCTTCATCTTCTGTATTTGTTGGTTTCCTGGGCTGGTAGATAAACTTTTTTTTTTCTCTTTATTGTTAGCATTTTTATTTCACTAGTGGGTTTTGTTCTTTCTTGAGTATTTATGGCATATATCTACTTGTCCTTCACTTCAGAAGGATAGCCTTGCTGGGTAAAGCATTCTTGGCTGGCAATCTTTGTCTTTTAGTATTTTGCATATATCATCCCATGCTTTTCTGGCTTTTAGCGTTTCTGATGAAAAGTCTGGTGTTAATCTGATTGGGGCTCCCTTATAGGTGACTTGATGCTTCTCTCCTGCAGCTTTAAAGATTCTCTCTGTCTTTGAGTTTTACCAGTTTGACTATAACATTTCTTGGAGAGGACTTTTTTGGGTTGAATATGTTTGGGGATCTTTGAGCCTCCTGAATCTGAAGATCTGTGTCTTTTCCTGTACCTGGGAAGTTTTCTGCCATTATTTCATTAAATAAGTTTTCAATACCATTTCCTTTTTCCTCCCCTCTGGAAAACCCATGATTTGGATATTTGAGTGCTTAAGGTTGTCTGTTATCTCTCTTAGATTTTCTTCAAGTTTTTAATTCTTCTTTCTTTTTTTTTTTAATCCACCTGTGTTATTTCAAACAGCCCATCTTCAAGATCAGAAATTCTTCTGTTTGTTCTAGCCTGCTGGTTAAAATTTCTGTTGTGTTTTTTATTTTGTTGAATGAATTCTTCAGCTACATTCTTTTTCAGGGCATTTATTTCTTTGTACACTTCTTCCTTCAGGTCCTGTATACTTTTTCTCATTTCATTGTGTGGCCTAGCTGAGTTTTCTTGTATCTCATTTAGTTTCCTTAGAATTTTTGCTCTAAATTCCTTGTCAGTCATTTGAAGGACTTCTGTTCTATAGGATCTAGAGCTTAAGTGTTATTATTATCCTTTGATGGTGGTGTACTTCCTTGATTTTTCATATTTCTGGTATCTTTCCTTTGGTGTTTAGTCATTTAGGCAGGGGATTTCACGGTCTACTTGTTAGACCCTAGTGTCTGGCTACGATCCTGCAGGGACAGCCAATTTGGCACAGCTGCCTCGGTGCCTGTGGGCCAGAGGCTCGGGCCTCTCTGGTCATGGGGACTGGTCTGGGCTGGGAGTCACACAGCAGAATCTACCCACTCCAGTGCGGGTGGCTCGGGGCTCTGTGGGCCCTGCAGCTCTCGGGCCTGTGTGGGCGACGCACACTGGCCTGGGTTGGGAGTCCCACAGTGGTGCCTATCTCCTCCAGTGCGGGTGGCTCAGGGCACGTGGGCCTGGTGGCTCTCAGGCCTCTCTGGGTGGCACAGACAAGCCTGGGTTGGGAGTCCCACAGCGGCGCCTACCTGTACCAGCATGAGTGGCTCAGGGCCCTGTGGGCCTGGCAGCTCTTGGGCCTCTGTCGTGTTGAATCTGTTGTATTTTTCTTATTATGCCAACAAAACCATAAGTAACTTGAGAAAAAGTATTACATAAATTTATTTTATTTGTTTCACAACACCTAGCAAAGTGTCAGCCAAAGCAAATATAGTGGTCAAAAATACTTTCTGAATTAAATTATTTTACCAATGCCTTCTTTGGTTTATCTGATGTGCAATAAATTTACTTTATGAAATTTTAAAAGTTCAAATAACCAGAGGAGAGAACATTCTTGCTTCTGTCAGTTAATTTACTAACTGAAAGTCAGTAGTACTATATGAGAAATAAACTAGCTTGGTAAAATTTGTGAATGTGAAGAAAACATGAACCATGGAATAAATTACACATTTGCTTTATAAGCCTGTGAATAAGGTTCTTGTATTTGGTAAGCAGAAAGAAAGCAGAGTATTGTTCAGAGAGGGAATGTATTTAGAGCAGAGCACAAATTTGAAAATGAAATGAGAATAATCGAATACACTTTTTTGTAAGCAACTACAATACACACACGTCAGTCAAATAAATGAAGAGGATTATGAACATATGTGTATGCATGTGCACACACACTACTATAAGTGTGAATAAGACAACAGAAATGAAGGTTGGGAAAACAACCTTTTCATGCCATTAATGACTAGACATTTTCAAATTCAGAGCTTCTTTCCTTATTTCTTCTTTCTTGTCTGTTTCCCTCCCACCATTACTTCTCATACTGTTCCTTTATTTAGTCTTTTCTGCCTAATTTTCCTCCCTCAATTCCTTCTAACAAACTCTACACACTTCCACACACACACCCACACACAACCCCATATCCACCAATTGTTTCCTACACTGTGTTCAAAGAATGAAACCAACTATCTAGAGGGTTCTTGATAGTCCAACTAATTCACTAGTAATTTTCAAACTTTTGTTCATAAACCCCTACAAGAATTTTGAAAAAAAATAGACTTTGTGTCAGTTATTAATTTGTTGCCTCTCACCTCTAAGTCCATTTTCCTTGCCTGCTCTGCTAAAATGGAGCTAGGCCCTTTAAATATATTTTTTTTCCTTGTCAGTTAGCATGATGTTAAACTTTGCCAATAGAGAGCACAGGAGAAAGACTGCAGACGGAAAAGGTCTTTCCTTTCTGGTTTCAGTATCCTTGCTCAGCACACCCCTCCATCGCACATGCCATCTCTCACATCCGGATCCTGCAGCACATGCAGCTTCTCTTTCCACGCTCCTGTAGGGTAAATGGCTTCTCTTCTACCCATCTCCTTCAGAATACACAGCTTCTCCAGCACCTGGTTTCTGCAAAGCAAACAGTTTCTCCTGCATCCAGCCTTTGTAGCATACATTGTTTGTTCCCAAGTGTCCAGCAGCATGAGCAGCTTCTCTAGTGCCAGGCTCCTACAGCACCAGGTGCAGCTCAGTGTTTCAGTGCACAATCATCAGCAGCACCCAGCAGCCAGCAGCTTCTCCTGGCACTCCTCTCAGGTGTTTTGGTAGTACAGTGCCTCCACTGAGACACCTCTGTGCAAACAGCTTTTCCCAGCACCTCAGAAGGTAGAAGGTAGACAGCAAATTCCATAAGGCAGATTTACAAAAAGTTCCAGAGCCCAGATTTCCAGCAAGTTGCAGCATTATGGAATCAAAATGACTTTTCTGACATTTAGTAGCTATAGCCATGCTCTCTCTAGTAAGGTGTAGGTCTCAGCCCTGGGGAAAGGAAAGTATGCAGCAGGGGAGGCTTTTCCTTAGGCTCTCTGTCTCAGCCCCAGGGATTATCATTGCTTCTTATATCTGTTATTCCCGTATTCTTTAGAATTTCTCTTCACTTCCCACTAACCAATCCTTTACTACCACAATCTTCTATTACAGTTAATAATTCTTTATATTTTCTTGTTCACATCACTGTGTGGTTTCTGTATCCTGATTCGGTGCTGACTGGTACATACTCCCCCATATATTTTAAATTAACAGCTAAAATTACTTACAGTAATTTAAATAATTGCAGAATTTCTGGTGGTCTGTATACTGTATACAAGCTTAAAATATATTTTGTCAAAACCTCAGAACTATATATTTAGATTATTTAATGAATGGAGAAGTCCACTATATAAAGTAATTTACAAAGCCAATCCTCACTGTCACATCAATCAAGTGAATCAAACTTATTCTCGGTCCAGAAAATACTTCCATCTCTTTCATTTGTTTTCATTTGAATAAACATGTTGATACATGTTCTCATGGCAACCCTCTCACTTAAGTAGGCTGGTAGAAAGTGGATGGACAGAAAGCAGATGGAGACATAAGCAAGGAGGTAGACTGAGACATGCCAGGAGCTTTGCCTAGATAAAATATTATTTCAGTTTTTCTTACTAATGCTTTTGTGCCTTGCTTTCATGGACCATGAGAGGTAATGCATTTCTGAACTGTCAGTTTGCCCTGGAGATTGCACCCTGGAGCAATAAATCATAGTAAAATTTGGGCTGAGTGAAAGGTGTGACATCTTTTGTGAAGTGGAAGAAGGACGATCATGATAGAGGAGCTGGCAAGGAAGAAGTGACAGACTACAGACTCTCAGAAGCATCAGTTTCAAGAAAATGTACATTCAGAAGTTGAGGATCAAAAGATTGATTTGCTCTAAACTGTCCGTGCCCTGTGGCCCCTACAAAGTCTTTCTGGAAACCCAGCGCACACATTGTCCAGTATGAAGACAGCTGCACTAGACCAATAAGCTACTACATTATCCAGTGAAGGATAGAGCAGGGAATTTTTTCCAAAATAGATAAGAAACTAAATAAGAGAAGCAAACCATTAAAAAAGTAAAAATTAGAGTAAAAATGTTAAACCATATTCCATAAAAATTTAGAAAATAGAAGCTTTCTTTAGAAGAATGCTAAAGGAAATAGAGGCAATATGATTTCAAATGTGAAACCTGACTCCTACCAGTACCTATGTTTGGATAAGGGTCTTGCTTTAGGATTTGTGACTCAAAATCTCACATGCGTTAAATCCTTCATTTACAGCAGTTCTGTTTCTTATTTAAAACAGTAAGTTTTCCTTAGATCCAGTACTTTAGCAAATCACATGACAGAGAAAGAGATGGAGAATCTTAAACTAAAAGCAAAGGGGATGTGGCCAATTTTTACCATTTGGGATATTAACAAGTTTAACATGGCTCAGCAACTATCTTAAGTGTTATATCAACTATTATGATACAAGCTAAAAGTGTTGAAATATAAGGATGTATGTTTTCTGAGAGGAAATGGGTGACAATTTGAAGGGTCAGATTTTTAATATGAAGAATAAATACATAAGAATTCAGAACAGATTCTCAACCAACACTAATGTGCAATAAGGTTTGTGCAATTTAAGAAAAGTTTTAAACTGCTAAAAAAAATTTCAAGGAAACTACTGTTTCCTGTTATTTCTGGAAAATCTGTAAATGCTCGTATTTTAAGAGAAACATTTATGGACAGATATTGTGTTTTATGTGCTACATGTATCAGATTCTTGTTTATTCATTCTCCCTTAGAAACTTTGTAATTTTGTTATAAATAAATGACATTTACTCTCAGTTAAGGTTTCTGTCTTTTTATTCCCCCAAATCAGCAACCCATGTGAAGTACAGGGTTTCTAGGATTTTCTCCACCTAGATAAATAAACTTTTGGTAAAGATTTTCTTTTCTTAAATAGGATCCATAATCTCCAAAATATACTTTCTGAATTAACTATTTTGGTCAAAAAGACTATGTGCTGCCTGTTTTACGGTAAACTGCTGGGATCTTTAAAATAAAGATTTTGGATCGATGCAAAAACTGTTAACCTCATATTACATAATTTGCTTACCTATGTATAAATACCTGTTATAACTCCCTTGTTACTTTCAGTACAAATATTTCCCTTCACTGCAAAAGCATGAATAGTCCACTTGGCGCATATTATTCAATCTGAAGGATATATATGAAAAACTTTTTGTTATGGTCCAATAAATACATTTAGGGCCAACACTTGAAGATAGAAAGGTCAATAAATACATAAATATTTCTACGCTTGCCAAAATCTCTTTCATACCTCTGCTAAGCACTATGGTTATTAAGATGAACAAGTTAATATTGGGTATTTTAAAGATTCAAGTAGTACAAAATCAACCAGTATCACACTGGTAATTCATGAAAACCAATAATTACTTCTTTGGGGGGGGGGCAGTGGAGGGGGAGGTAAAGAGAAATAGGAAAAAAAATTCAAAATTCAGTTATAGAAAAATTCTATGGTGAACAAGCAATAGTTTGTTGCCATTTGTGATATAACCATACTTACAGGTTTTCAACATACTTACTTGAACAATGGAGTTCCACAAACAACACATTTATATATTCCAGGATCTTTGTGATGTGTGTATTCTCCTTCAAAGGCACTGATAAACAATAAACAGATCATTAAAAAAGTTAAATTTAGCATTATTTTTTATAGAATGTATTTGCTTAAAATATATTTCTCTAATAAATCTTTCAAGGGCACTTTGTCCTAAAATGAGAACAGACCAAACATATGGAAACCTGAACATTACTACTCTATTTCAAATCTAAATAATAAAATGTGTATATAACTACTCCAAAATAGTGCAGGTTAAAAAAAAAAAAAATCAAGCCATCTAGTTATGTAATGCTTAGAAAACAATTTTTTCTATAAAAAAAAATCTATAGATTCACAGAAAGAACATTATTACATAAGATTTCTGCTACTCTACAGTGTCTAAGAGTGTGTACCAGAAAATGCAGAAGGATCCAAGACTTCAAGTGGAAGGAGTCTTATTTTTTGGTTTAAAAAGGAATATTGCAGCTTTAAGGGAATATTTTTCTAAGTTAACAATCTTAAAGGCTAGGAGGTCATTCAGCTAATACAAATCAGCTGTGCTAGCCCAACAAAAAGTCTATGTGCTCTGCAGCTTGTTTTTATTATCCTTTCACCCTCTTTATGAGGTCCAATTTTTTTATAAACAGAATTTTTAAGAATGACCTAATCTCTGGTTGTTTGTGTGCATTAAATCATTTTGTTAGTCATGTACACAACAGGACGAGTAGAAGTCCTAAAATGAGACTGAAGTTAACTGCTAGCTCATTGCATGGTGAGGGTGGACTTTGTCAGAGATTCAACATTTGGTAAATTTAGTAAACAGTAGATACTGTGACAGGAAGAGAGTATTGCCTATTAACAAGGATCCCATGTGTAGTTAAGCACTCTTTCAGTTCATGAATGAAAACTAGAACTTACATCATTAATAAATTTGGATCAGAGGTAAGCTACGGCCTTAAGCCAAGCTCCATGGTATAAATTAGACAACAAAATCGTTGGACCTTGGTAAGTTACCTTTGAGCTGAAATCAGCTGAGAGAGACTTTATTCACTAAAAACAGTCTTGGAAGTGAACAAACTCTTTTTTTCAGGATTTAGGGCTAACTTCCAAGGACTAAAGCCATGTGAGGGCAGTTATTGAAAATTTTTGACATTCCAACCACAAATGAGCCAATAAATACTTTCTCCACATGTGCTTCAAAAAGAAATTGGAGTGGGGTAGAAAGGAACTAAATTATGCTACCTTCTTTTTGCAGCCAAAACGTCTATACTTACAATGGCCACCTTCAAAATTTTAGCATCCTGGCATAGTGCCATGTCCCTCATGGTTTTGCTTACTGTGATGTCTTCCCAAAAAATGTACCTAAATCGCTATTACTTCCACACATTTTGTAGTAAACTAAAAACAGGCCCTTCACAAAAGCTCTGTGACTTTACATAAGATAGAGTGTTCATTAAACAGAGGAAAGAACAAATAAAACTTAGTCTTAACCTAAACAATACATTTTCAGCCTTTCAGGGATAATTTGTAGACTTTAGCAAATAAGTGTAGAATTCTTTAAATAAATTGGCAAAAAAGAGGATTCAAAGGGGAGAGAAGGTGAAAACTAGCTCTTGCTTAGTGACTTTGTTACAGCTTATCTTACCTTTCGGTCCCTTTCTCCTGAGTGACATGGTACTGCAGGGGTGTTAGCCGCTTCCTCAGTTCCTGCTGGGAAAAGACCACCTTACAGTTCTTTTTATCCCTACATGACCCTGGAAAGAGAGAGGATATGGGAGAAAGAAGCTTTTTAGCTTGAATCCTAAATAATTGTTTTGGCTGGCCGCCACAGCACAGCTTCTGCAGTCACTTTTCAATGACCAGACCAGTCCCTAATGCACTAGAAAACCTTACCTAAACTAAAGCTGATTATTTCTCTAAGTTTAGAATGTTTCTTAAGATCCAGGTGATTCCACTGCAGCAGTGACAATGTGCTTATCGCCACAGCTTCTAGGATGACACTAAAAACTCACTGAACATTAAGACAGTGACACATCCTTCATGTCTCCCAATACCCTGAAAGTTTTTAAGTGAATTCAAAAGCATAAATCTATTTATAAGCATTTATACTGTATATATAAGATGATGGGCATTTTAGTTAAACCATAACTCTCCGTTCAATAATTATGCAACTTGGTGGAATAGCTTGAAACCATCATCACTAGATTTCCACTTTGGATGATTTAACTACCATCCCATTTATTTTTCTTTGAAACCTAAAGACGTATTCTGTGACTAGGAATTGCCGTTCTCTGTGATTCCATCAGATACTTCACTAGGTTCTGTGGTGTCCTTAAAAATAAATGTCTCTTTAAAGAACTGTATCTTTCCATGTTAAACAGGCAACAAGAAAGTTTCAATAGACTACAGAAGGCATTTACACTAATGCAGATTCAAGAAGTTCCAAAGAATGAGTGAAGAAAACAGGGAGGGAAAAGATAAAGAAAAAAAGAGAAGTGAATGTGATTTTATTTAGAGACCTGCATTTTCTTTTTGCAAAGTATATCTAGGAAGACTTTACCAATTAAGTGTATTTGAGTGGTGAAATAATTTTAATGTGATTCGAATAACAATGGCAGCTTTCATTTCAACCTATACAGACTACAGTAAAATGTTCACACAACACCTGTTTATATGCAGTATTTTATTTTACCTGCACAAAAGATTGAAAAGAAATATAACTCCAGGACAGGGCAGCCATTACTCACTGCAGTAAAATTGCTTTTCTTTGCCATCCATCACTGTGGGAAAGAAGTTTGCAGATGGACCTTACCATGTTTTGAAGTTACTAAAAGAAAGCTTGCTTAGTTTCCCGAATATTAAACTTAACTTCTTTTGAAATATAAAGAAATATGACTGCGTAGTAGAAATGCTTTCTACTTCTTTTACTTTCAAAGTACCTAATCTTTGTGAGATCACAGAAATTAATTAGGAAAATATTAACTAATCAGTTACCCCCACTGCGGGACTGAAGAAGGATATCAGCTTCCAGAATCAGGGCCACCAGTATAGAGTGGTTGATTCTCTATAAGAAAATATGGAGGCAGGGAAAGAGCAAACCAGAGCCAAACAAAAAGGTACACCTTGGAGAGGCCTGCAGGTCGTCAACAGTCCCTCTGCTGACCTGTCACAAAGTACCTTTGCCCTTTCCTGTCCCGGAAATATGCATAGGAACAGCAGGCATATCACTAACGGCATTTGAACTCTCATTTCACTGGACCCCATATTATAGTAGGTTTTATCTACTTACATTTTTGCTGTTTTCTAAAGGGTAGATAGAAATGTTTCCCTGAGAAACGTTCATCCTGTCAAAACAAAGCCTCTCAACAGCTTAAAGTAGAACAGCTCTTTCTTAAATCAGTTGTCTGTTATAGGTAAGTTTCTGCTCAATTTACTGTAGACTTCCTAAAAGTTATCATTTTGTTTTTATTTATTTATTTGCTGGAAGAGCTGTATCTTTGTTAATTTTGTCAAAAAAAAACTCAACTGCAAACTTAACATGACAAAATATCTTAGTTAAAATTATTCTTTCCAATGGCATAGATAATTAAAATCTGTACAATGAGAATTAAACAATTCTGTCAAAAATATTTTTGTTAATATATGTTCATTCACACAAAAAGACCAATTGTGTTCCCAAAGTTGAGAGAGCTAAGCTACCCATCTGTATGTCATTTAGTACAAGAGAAGCAACTGCAGGTTTAAATTACATGGTATTGGATTGCAATTTCCTAACATTGGATGCTTTTCTGCTTTTTTACCTTGAGTCATTTACTAAGGAGTGTTCATAAAAAGTAGCTTAAAGCACAGATGCTTGCAAATCATTTAGGCAAAGATGTTTCTCTCTTTTTCATTCTCCCTCTCTCAAAATCTCTCTTTTCTGAAGAAAAAGAATAAAACTGTTGGTCAGTATTGATGAACCATGTCAAGTATTTGTACAAGGAAGAAAGGTAAAATTGAAAACATCTGATTGAAGTAAATAATACAAACATAAAAGCTTTACTGGTGAATGAAGGGTATTGAAGAGACTTTATTTCATAGATTAGAAATTACTTTTGATCTAAACATTCTTAAAAACAGATTGTTTTCCACTATGAACCATCTCATTAACTGTGCTACAGAGACCTCATTTTAATGGCAAGCTTTGAAAGAGTGCTGCTGTACTCCTTTGTTAGTCTTTGTCTTATTTGGGAGGGGAATAAAGATTTCATTCCAGCTTTCTTTGTCTTTCAAGAACCACTAAAGCAGTATTCACACAAATTTTGTAGGAATGTGCCCTATGTCATAGCCTACAAATTATTTGGTTTTGGTGCACTTAAAGGTCATCTTCCAAATTAGCAAAATTTTCCTACATCCTGGCTTTTCAACCTTAAATATAAATATTGTCTCCTAATTGTAAGTGAGGTTTGTTCTTTAGGAAATGCTAGTGATTATTTACAGTTGTCAAACTTTGTACATTTTTATTCTTTGGTCATACTATGCTCTCAAAATAATTAGGCTTTTAAAGTATACCTAATAGCAAAAGGAAGTACACGTAGACTAGAAACAACTATTGTGATTTTATATTAAACAACTCAGTGAGAAGTTAGTCAGATTTTAATAAATGTCTTGCCACATAGTTTAATAATAATATACTTCCTGGACAATTAAAAGCTATGCTATTATATTAGCTGTTCTAGCATCATAACCAAAAATTGGCATATATAAACACAGAAAAGCTTCACTTTTGTTTCTGATTTCCCTTCTCCCTATCAGACTCACTTTTCTGGAGTTATACAGTGCCATTGTTAATTTTGAAGAAATCATTTCATTTTGAAATTCTAGAGTAATTCATTGGATGGTTTCCCTTTACTATCTTCATTTAGGTACTGTAATTTTCTTATTACCCGGGGTTATTTAACATTAGTATCATATGACATCTATTCAATGACCTCTAAATTGGCTTAGAAGTATGATAGGAAAAGATTTTTTCCTTTATTTAAATGTTTAATACTGTACTTTGAAGGTAGAAGTGAGTGTGTGTATATACACATGAATACAAATATATTTGAGAGAATAATATTGCCTCTTTTGTATCTATTTATAACATCGTTCCCTACAGAGTAACTTTGGTATAGATCAGATTCATCTTGAACCTAATCCAAGGGTATTTATTTACTAAAATAAGTCCAAAGTCTCTTTTTATATTGAGGCTTGTTCCATGTTGTTGCCTCAGGCAAGAATTGTTTTGAAGCTCCAACGTGAAGCTCTTGCTGTAAGTAGAAATAAACTTACAGCAAGCGTTCGCTTTCTGGCTCTGTCTGCTTCCCAGCCATGTGACTTAAGTAAGTTAACTTCTCTGACCATGTGCTGCCACCCTCACAGATCTGCTGTAAGGATCACAACAATTAGCACTTATCAAACACTGTCTGAATAAATTCAATACAACACTATTATTCTGATACAGTGAATTTTGAAGTTAAAACTACTTTTTAAAAGGTAGCCAGGTCAGGTGTTTAAGTGTGCTGCAATATTTTATTGGTAATTATTTTTCTATAATAATTTCCTCAGAACAGTATTTTCCTCACAAGTTATCTTCAAAAAATGATTAAAATAGGAAATGAAGAAATAAAATTAAAATTTGAGTCTTACTATGTGCTAGTCACTTTCACATAGCCATATTTAATCCTCTCAATAATTCTAGGAGGTAGCTGTCATGCCAGTTTTATAGATACAGAAACTGAGGCTCACAGAGGTTATAATATAACTTACTAAGGACAAGTAGCAAATAGATATATCAACTCAAACCCAGGTCTGTTTACTGCAAAGCTCATAGTCATTATATTTTCTGTCAGAAAAAAATTATGCTACAACTTTCTTCCATCCCCTCAAATTATGCAATAACTTTCAGCTTAAAAACTATCACTAACAAGGATAAAAAAGGGGAAAAGTAATAATCATCACAGTACATTTAGAAAAGTAAAAACATTGTCTATTAGCCAATGTCTGTTTTCCCTGTATTCATTCCCTCAACATAGATTCAATGACAAGGTTCACATGGGATTCTTACAAAGTCTATAAAATGTTGAAAGGCTTTTAAACTTCCTGTTAAGAAGTAAATCAGATTTGTTACCTAAATCTTATAGCACTTTTAAGTCATAAATTTTATATTTCAGAGTGAAAAATCAAAACAAAACAAAACCTAAAGATCCCATAACTTTAATTTTGATTCTAGTATCAGAAAAAAATGAAACTATTAAACATTTTCCTACGATAAAAAAATGAATAAGAATATCTTGTTTTGCTTTGAGATTACTAGGTTAAAACACTAAAGTTCATGTTGAAATATATTTAAAGGTGGTATACTATGACAAGCAAACAGAAAGGACATTGTTGGGTGGGAGGGAGGAGAGGGAGGAGGGAGGGAGGTTTCGGTAATGGGCCACAATAATCAACCACATTTTATGTCGACAAAATAAAATTAAAAAAAAAAAAAGATTGTGGAAAAATAGAAATAAATAAATAAATAAAAAGGTGGTATACTTTAATTTTCACTATAAATTTTAATTTTCAGTTGGTTATTAGTCTGTCATATTGGAAAACTGAACAAATTTTCACTCAAGGCATAGTAGTGTTAGAATTTCTAAATAAGTGGGCTTTTATAAAAGCCAAATCTAGTCCATTTTTAGAATAAAATATAAAATATATACCACGAATCATTATTTCTGTGGGCTTT